GCAGAACTCAGGATATCTATTAGAGAGGCTGATTGCTCTAACAGTCTTTGTGATTTAGCATACTCAGGGTTTATGTACTTCTCAAACACAGTGGGATGTGGATCTCCTGGTTGGTCCACCTCGGGGGCCCAGGCATCTTCTGTAAAGTCAGGACACCATTCCCCAAGGCCTAGCAGGCCCTCCCTGGAGCTTTCACAGTCAACTGGCCAAAGAGGAAATAGAAAGAACATCAGAGATAACTCAGGAGGTCCAGGGGCCAGGACTAATGGTGGCTCACACTTCTGCATTGACTGGAATTAGTACAGGGCCCCAGCCAGGTGAGGGGACTGGGACACACAGTCTTCCTGCGTGTGCAAGGGGAGGATGCTAAGGTTTGAATACGTACCAGGAGTGGGGAACCTTTTTTCTGCCGAGGGCCATTTGGATATTGTTAACAGTATTCGCAGGCCATACAAAGTTACCCACTTAAAAATTGGCCTCCTATATTTGGTCAAACATTTCATTAACTCACCCCTAATGCCTTGGCAGGGCCAGACCAGATGACTTTGTGGGCTTTATATGGCTCGAGGTTTGGATGTTCCCCATCCCCTCTTTTGTCTGACAGGCCCAGATAGGCTGCACAGCCAGGCAAAGCAACAGCTCCCCATGATGCTCCTATGTCAAGAGCCTCTGTTACAATTTAAAAAGCTACATCTTAGAGGCAGCTAGCCAGGAGCCACTGAACAGAAGTGACTTCTTCCCTAAGAGGCTGTGACCCACCTATTCTTGACCCTAATCCTGTTGCTGGCTCTCAGAAAGATCCAGGCGTATAATGCCTCAGTGATGCACACGGCCCCGGTTCTTGTTGCAGGTCAGCTGACCCAGCCAGAGCAACTTGAGTTGTGGCCAGGAAGCCAGCCTGGGCAGCTCCTGAGGTCGCCGGCCTGCTGGGCAGCCTGTTATGTGGATGACCCATCTTCCCCATCTATTCAGGACTCACCCCATTTCTCACTTCCACTTGTACTTTCCAGGATGTGTCCATCCCAGCCAGAAAGCCCTTTGGAATTCAGAAGTGTGTCTCTCTAACACTTCTGCCCTGTCCCATCCCTCCTTCTGCTCCCGGAGGGGCCTTTCTCTGCCCTAAGCTTCTGCTGGAAGTGAGCCACTGGGAGGGGTTGCTCCAGGCTGTGCAGAGGCTGGGAGGGACCGGAAGGGGAAACTGGAAGCCTCGTCTTCATACTACAGCCTCCTTATTTGTCTGAGGTGGATTCCCAGAATAGCAAACAACCAGACACACCCATATTTAAATGTTAGCACTGAGGCATTCTGGACCAGAAAGAAAACTGTGTTTCTGTTTGGATGGCTGGGATCATCTATTCATGAGGATAACGAGGAGTTGGCAGGCCTCTGGTTCCATGGCTGTGGAATTGTGACAGAATGTCCTCTGCCTGCTCCCTTTCTTGTTTGTTTCTATCCCTGTTTAGTTTTTCCCCTCAGTTGAAAGACCACATTCTCTCCAAATGACTGGAATGGGAGCGGGCTCACTGCTCCCTCAGGCATGGGCTTGGCAGCGTGGGAGCGGAAGCTCGCTGAGGGAAGTGGCGTGTGGAGAGTGGTGTGGGGTTGCTGTGGGTGCTGGTGACAGCGGAGGAGGCCCTGGTGGTGGGACGGAGGCAGATGGGGCTGACAGCTGGAGTGAAGCGCGAGGCAGGAAGGTGGGACCGGAGAAAGGAGACGGCTTCCAGGGTGATTAGATTCGGACTGTGCCTTTAGCCATTGGTGCATTAACCACTGATGCTATTTGCTGCTTTCCTCCAAATCGGGTTAAACCTTGTTAAACTACTTACTGAAGACAGCCGAAATTGGTTTGGCTCAGTGAATAGAGCATTGGCTTGTGGACTGGAGGGTCCCAGGTTTGATTCCGGTCAAGGGCACGCACCGTGGTTGCGGGCACATTCCCAGTAGGAGTGTGCAGGAGGCAGCTGATGGATGATTCTCATTGATGTTTCTAACTCTCTATCCCTCTTTCTTCCTCTCTGCAAAAAATCAATAAAATATATTAAAAACAAAAACAAACAAAAAAACCCAACAAAAAACAAACAAACAAATAAACAAAACAACTGAAGACATTTAGAAGAATCCACAAGACAGAGAAAAAAATGGAAAAGTGAAGGATAGTTGATGTGACCCAACCAGTGCAAAATGTCTGAAAAGAGTGGAGGTGCAGAGAGCCAGTAAGTTATGTGGATGAACCATCTTCCCCATCTAAGTGGGAGCTGCTGGGAGTGAATGCTGTCAGAAAGTTGATGCTGGCCCCACACTGCCCCTTTTTGCGCCTTTCCCAGTTTATTTCAAAGGAGAATGTGGAAAACCCCCTTCTGTCTCCAAGGGGCTGCTGTTCTGGCTGTCTCGACCTCTTACTCGGAGTCTTAGGTGAAACAGAATAGTTCCTATGAGTGTGTGACAAAGCTAGGTAGAGGGATGTTCTGCACCTGTTGGTATTTGAGGCGCAGGAGTGTATACCCTTGTGGGTGGGTGTGGATGTTTGTGTGTTATGCCGTGTAAAGAAATCCCCTTTCTAGAGATTGTCTCAATGTCCTGGATACCTTTCTCCCCCCCAAAATACATTATTTTAATGAAGTTAAAGTGATCTTAAAACTCCATTTAAAAGTTAACATTGTGCCCAAACCAGTTTGGCTCAGGGGATAGAGCTTCAGCCTACAGACTGAAGGGTCCCAGGTTCGATTCCAGTCAAGGGCACATACATTGGTTGCAGGCACATCCCTAGTGAGGGTTGTGCAGGAGGCAGCTGATCGACGTTTCTCTCTTATTGATATTTCTAGCTTTCTATCCCTCTCCCTTTGTATCTATTAAAAACTCAATGAAATATATTAAAAAAAATAAAAGTTAACTGTTAGATCAAACACACAACCTTTGGCTAATACAAAACTCATATTCACATGCACACTCAAAGGATAAAGTTAATCTCTTCAGATTGCACACATCTTTACCAGCCTGAGAGACGGCATTTTCTCCATTTGGTTCATTCCCTGGTTTCTGTTACTTCTGTATTATCAAAGAAGAGACCGCAAAAAAGATAGCCATCATGTGAGCCCACGCAATGAGAAAGTAAGCAAAATCAAGGAAATTACAGTTTATCTCCCAACATCTTTTAAACCAGTACTTCCATCTTCTTTGCCTTCTAAATGTACTGCTGAGACTAATGAAAAGTGGGAGAATTAATCTGGCTGTTTTCTTCTTTTTCCCCCTTCCTTTTCTCTTCAGTGTCTGATGGAGATGCTGTAATTAGCAATGTAATGAGAAGTGAAGGGTAAACAAGAATGATTCCCAGAACATGCATTTAGGGATGGAAGACCGGAACAGGAAAGCCAGCCTGAGTTAAAATATTCTCTATGCCTGACCGAAGGGGGTCTTGCCTAGAGTTCCACACACACATGCTTCTAGGCAATGAAGGAGGGAACTGTTGGCAGCACTGCCTTCAGAGGAGCTGACTTATTCCTAAGTCTGGACACCTGTCGCTCTACCTTTCTGGCATGGAGGTTTGGTTCTCTGTTTGAGACTCAAATCTAAAGCTCAAATATTGGATCTCTCTTTCTACACATTCCTTTTAAAGATAAATAATTGGCAAATAAGCTCACCTTGGAAACTTATCTTTTAACAGTAATTGAGGGTATATTTAAAGGCTTTAGATCTAGAAGCCTCTTTGCATATCTAATGCTAGTCCCACATTCTCCTTTTGTTAATGAAGAGATTGAGTCTGAGAGATCAGATTATTTGTTGGAAGCCTAGCTCTTCAGGCCGGACTCCTGAGACCCAGCCCCTGAGACCGAGCCCCGTGCTTTCTTCTGGGCTCAGTGGCCAGGGACGTTTTCCTGCCGCATCTGTGATATTGTTTAAGAGCTGCTTCCTGTGACAGAACCTGGTAAGGTCCTAAAGTGCTTTTGAATGTTCACTCCTTTCTCTCCCTATTCTGGTTTTTAAAGAGGCAACTCCCTTTTCTCAGTGAACTGGAATATCCCACCCTGGCACCCATTTGCCAACCATTGAGAAGGAACGGAGAGGCCCTCCTCATGTGCTGCCCTCAGAGCCTGTCATTGCCTGCTTCCGTTCTGACCCTACCAGGTCAGAGGCCTCTAGAATATATCCTGTGTCTCCTCCCTTCATTGAGTGTTTTAGATAAAGTCCACTTCAAGTGAAATGTGTCTAAGCCTTTACCTTACGTCCTCTCACTTATTACCTGTAATAGTATTCTTACGCTCGCTTGGCTTATGTTAATGGGGGAATTGAACTTGTAAGTGGTTCACCTGTCAGTTATTATAATAGCTACTTTTGATCTTGGAGATGAAACAAATGCTTCAGAAACCACCTTCAGATATAAAAATCTAAATATCCTGTTACCAGGATGATGGAATTAAAAATAAAGAAATAACCTGGCAGGCATGGCTTAGTGGTTGAATGGTGACCTATGAACCAGGAAGTCATGGTTTGATTCCCGGTCAGGGCACAGGATTATGTGCAGGAGGCAGCTAATCAATGATTTTCTGTCTCATCATTGATGTTTCTCTCTCTCTCTCTCTCTCTCTCTCTCTCTCTCTCTCTTTTTCTCTCTCTCTCTCCCCTCCCTCCTTCCCTCTCTGAAATAAATAAAAATGTGTTTTTAAAAAATAAAGAAATAATCTATTTCACTGGAGTACTCTTCTCCAATCACAGGTGAAGGTAAGAGCTAACCCAATTGCCTAAAAACTCATCTGAACAAGTGTCTCATTTTGAATAACTGCAGGGAAAGAGTCGGAAAGCAGTTTTTTGCTGCAGCATCTTTATTTCTAAAGTGTGATTTTTTTATATTTCATGATTGACTTTTTTCTTCTTGACAAACACACACACACGAAATCTGCTAGGTTATATTCATACATTAACAGCTGCCACAGACCCTCTCGGTATTCTGTAAATGAGATTTCTAGTGTGAAACCATTAATTAAACTATTTTTTTTTTCTTCCAGAACAAGGAAAAAGCAATCTGCATGTAACGTCATTAGAAGATGCAGAATGCCGGAGAACCAAGGAACGCCTTTCTAATGGGAACAGTCGAGTGTCAGTTTCCAAGGCTTCCCGAAATATCCCAAGGAGACACACCCTAGGTGGGCCCCGAAGTTCCAAAGAAATACTGGGAATGCAAACATCTGAGATGGATAGGAAGAGAGAAGCTTTCCTGGAACATCTCAAGCAGAAATACCCCCATCATGCCACAGCAATCATGGGCCACCAGGAGAGGCTGAGAGACCAGGTACGAATGTGCTACCTTTTTGCTCTGCAAAGCTCATTCTTTAACGAACATGACAGAAACCAAAGTGACCTTTGGTTTAAAAGAGAAAAAATAATTGAGTGAACTGTGCCCACCACTAAGTTTTCCAGATCTCAAGAAGAGAGATCCAGAGAGTGGGCAGTTCTCCCAAAAGGGTCCCATTGTCACCCACAAATGCATCTGAAGTGCAGGCAGTGAAGGGGTATTACTTGACTGAGTTAAAGCAGAGGATCAACTGCTGTGCACCCTGTTAGCACCGAGTGCTTGGCACAGTGAATGAATGAGTTAGAGAAATAGTTTTCAGGGTCAAACAGAGCACAGAGGGATACACTTGAGATAAACCCCCTTTCCTTAAGAAGCTGACATTAGGGTTTTGTTTCTGCTCACTTTTGTTTTTCCCTTTTTAATCACAGATGTTTTCCTTTTGCATGCTTGGTTTTCTGCTGTCTTCAGCTCCCTGTTCTCTCAGGTTATCTTGACAGCCAGACAGATATCACCCAGTGTGGCTTGGGGTGTTTTTGTTTCTTGTCTGCGTGCAATTACCTTTTAGCTGATAGGAGGAGGGAGGCCTCCTCCTGCGACCTCATAGGCATGTTATCAGATTGACCTTTCAGGATGGGAACATAGCAGAGGACTGAGCACTGAGTGATTCTGTGGTCCGGGAAGAGGGCAGGCTGTTAGTGATTTCCAGCCCTCCGGCTAGAGAGGCAGCACAGTGTTTTAAGGCTGCTTGCTTGCAAATTAGTTAGTTTCAAAAGTGATGGCTAACTAACTCAGCTTTTGAGCATCCATGGAAGCGGAGATTATCATCAGTTTAAATAATTTAAACCTATGCTTTATCTCCATTTTATTTTTTCCCCTTTAAATTCAACCTCCTAATCTATAAAATCTTTATCAGAGGGCCTAAGACCGTGACACGTGCTTTATGGACTACGTGTCTGCTTTCTGTTCGCATTGCCAAAGGGCAGTTGACCCAGAGAGGAGAAAAGAAACTGCTTGATGTTGAGATGTGCAGATTAATTCTGCGGTGATTAAGGAAAGGAAGGCTATCTTTTCATTTCAAGCATACAGGCATGCTGTGGAGCTATTGTGGGTTGGGTTCCAGACCACTGTGATAAATGTGGTCATAATGTTTTTGCTTGTAGAGGGTCTTGTCTTCCGTTTGAAAACAGCACATCTGTCAAGGGCAATGAAGTGAAGTGCAGTAAAATGAGGTGCGCCTGTATATAGAAAATACCCCTATTTTTTATTTTTAAATTGAATTTGCTTATTTTTTTTTTTTACCTTTCCCAGTTTTATTGCGCTATAATTGATAAATAACATAAATACCATTGTTTTCTTTTGATTCTAGAGTCACAATCCATTTAAGTATTAGAATCGGCACCTCTTCCTATGTCACTTTATTTATTTATTTATTTATTTATTTATTTATTTTTTCCTATGTCACTTTTTTGGTGAGACACCATATTTTATATAAAACAATTGAGGAAACTCACTTAAGGTAGTTACAATTGCACAATTTACTCAGAGTAAGCTGGGATTTGGATCCAGCTAAGTTTGAGCTCAGAATCCTTGTTTATTCCACTGTTTTATAGGTGGAAGACCACTGATTATAGAGACAAGGTAGTATGGTCTATATCTGGGATGTAAGGGTCATGGAATGTGTGTGTGTGTGTGTGTGTGTGTGTGTGTGTATACATACATGCACATGCACATGTCACCATGGGAACAAGGGTCAGGGTAAAGGAAGCTAGAAAACTGATTATGTGTTGAGTGAGGAGGGAAAATATTTTTTAACTTTAAAATATATTACTTTCTCTCTGAAATATAGAAATCAGTCTGTCAAAAATGGTATGTTTCTCATGTCAAAAATATTCCAGTTATTATCATTACTGTTATTATTTGTGATGTCGTGATTATAGCTGCTATTGTGATGATGGTGCTTTTAGGTTAACACAGTTACATGGGGAGCCTAAATATAGCTCGAAGGTTGTAAAGGGTGAAGGTTGTAAAAGGTGCATGGTGTCAGATGACAGGGAATAATGATGTAGGTTAGTGGCCTCCAGCTCTGATCTCTTGTCACATCTATCTCTGCCCTGGGTGTAGTCCAACCGTGGCTGGCAGCTGCACCTTTGCTGTTAATTCAGGATGAATTTTTGTGTATTCCAAGCTGACCACCCAGAAGGAGAAAGATTTTGATACCTTGTTCTGTACATATATTTTTTATTCCGCTGCTTTGTTGCAAATGAACCTTAATCATCATTGTAAACATCAGAGATAAGCTCAGGCAGTGGTGTGTGATATTCCTATGAACAGCACTGTATCTCATGCCTTTTCCATTCTTTTTCTCCTGCCACTCATTTCCTTCCTCTGTCCTTTCCTCTTCTCCATGACACCCTTTGTTTCTTCCTGACCTTCTGACAATGGGTTAGCCCAGGCTTCCTTTGCAGGAAGATGCATGAGCTGCCATAAGGAGGGATTCAAACAGCACATGTCTGATGCTCTTCTCTAGATTCTCAATACCATGTTCTGGGAAGCTATCTCCTTAGTGAGGAGAGTGCCATTGAATAAGATGCTAAAAATGCTGTATCCAGCACCTTACATGAAATATATATATTTTAATTTTTATTGAATTTATCAGGGTGACATTAGTTGACAAAATTATATAGGTTTCAAGTGTACAATTCCATAATGCATCATCTGTATATTGTATTGTATGTTAACCACCCAAAGTCAAGTCTCCTTCCATCACCATTTGTCCCCCCTGTATTCCCTTCTACCTCCCTCTGTTGTTGGTGCGGTGCCCTCTGGTCCCCACCTGTTGCAGGTGCAAGTGGAATCCTTGCAATATCAGCAAGGGGAGGAATTTTCTGAGATTTGCACAGGAGGAGGATGAATGATATTGATTTCTGTGGAATTAAACCCCTGGGTTTCGCCGTGGAAAAAGCCCAGTCTTGTCTTCAGCAGTGCTAGGACTAAAGGCAGTGCCCAGAGTTGCCTCTCTGTATTAAAGCACAGTCTAGTCCAACATCTGGCCAGCTTGGTTTGTATTCCCAGCTGCAGTCCATTGCTTTTGGGGTCCCCATGGCCATGGGCTGCTTAAGGTGACATGGCAGACTAGCTAGCACATGGGCAAGTAGAGGTCACAAGCAAGAAAGTGCAAGGGAGCAGGAGCACAAGAGAGAGAATCTTTTGTCTCAGGGATATAACTAGGAGCTTAACCAATCAATCTATACTTCAGGATTTTTCATACTAGCAGTGGCTCCACCCCTCTAGCCAATTATCTTTTCCCCAGGTTAGACTGACTAACAAGCACCGTCCCTACTTCACCTGCCTTCACTGTGCATGCGCCACTTCCCCTTTGTTGGACCCCTTCCCCCAGTGCTGTGCAGCCAATGGGCCAGAGGCTCCTTAGGGAGTGAAATTGCAGCTTCCTGGTGAAGCTGCCCAGATGATCATGCTTGTAATGTTTGGCCTCCCCTTTGCTCTTTTCCTATTATTAATATTAATAACTAGCTAATTATGACAGTAGCACCACCCTTCCCTCTGGAAATCACCATATTGTTATCTGTGTCTATGATTTTTTTTTCTTAATCCCTTCACCTTTTTCACCCATTACACAAAATATTTTGAAACTAAGGGAGTCTAGATTCTAATTCCTTGGTATTATATAAAAAGAGAATTAGAGCACACTTTATATTTTGAACATTGAATTTAAACACTGGAAGATTCATGGTTGAAAACTTATAGTCAAGTCTTTGAAATTTAGTCAACCAAGAATTTTCCAAGGTCTAACTTATTGTAAAGCAAACTTGATTTCTTTTCACTATCTTAAAAAATGCAGATAACCATTATTGCAGCAAAGTACTTATCTGCATAATAGCAGCTGTCATTACCACTGACTCCCCCAACCACTTGTGCAGGGCAATCAGACTGTGATGCTCTATCACCTGGCAGCTAAGGCTTAGCTCTGGAGTCAGGCAGGGCTGAGGTTGGTATCCAGCCCCCATTTATGTGCTAATTGTGTGACTTGGAGCTAATGGCTTAATCTCTGTCTCAGTTCCCTTATTTGTCAAAAGATAATAATAACTATATCATAAAGTATTGAGGAAGAAAATGATGGATCCTTTTTCTGCTACAATGACAGCTCTTAGCATTACACTATTCTGGTTTATGATGTCCAAAAGAAAAGTCTCAGAGGCTCTACTGGTATTTTCAAATTAGTATTTAAATTCATTTTATTTTTTTATTAACACATATTTAAGTTACCCGAAGAAGTTTATTTTTTCTATTGACAGAACAAAATCGTATTATATTTCTGAAAGTTATTTGGATTTCTTTTACTTTTTCATAATATATATATATATATATATATATATATATATATATATATATTTGTGTGTGTGTGTGTGTGTAAATACATATATATGTGTGTGTGTGTATATATATGTGTGTGTATATATATATATATATATATATATATATACACACACACACACACACACATATATATATATAGATACAATGAGACATGACCCTTGCCTTCAAATCAGTAAAAGAAATAAGACCCTCAGGGACCCAGACTAGTCTCTCAAGATCCAGCCCAAATTTCCCACCTTGTGAGCTGTGGCACATAATCATGCCTTCATTGTACATTTCTTCATATTTCTTTCTCCCATCTAGAATATGTTTTTAGAGCACAAAAACCTCGTCTTAATCACCTTTGTAAATGCAGAATTTAAGGAGTAGCAACCTAAACTAGACATGATCAAGTTTTGTTGAATGAAAGTGTGAGCCAATATTTTTAATACAATTAGAAGGTGATAGATACTACTGAGTGGTACAAGTAGAGAGGGGTGGGGAATTGAGATCGGTTGCAGTTTGGGCAATCAGAGGAGATTGAGGCTAAGAAGCCAAGAAAAGGTAAGTCACTCCTTCAAGTGAAGAAGCCAGCATTTGAACCAAGGTTAGAATTGGTCTTT